TCTTTTGTTCTCAATTTTTTTTTAAAGTCGTCAATCTAGTTACTGCAAGGTAAAGGTAAAGGTTCCCTTGCTTGAAAGCCGGTTGAGTCCGACTCTAGGGTCGCGGTGCTCATCTCGGTTTCAAAGCCGAAGAGCCAGCACTGTCCGAAGACGTTTCCGTGGTCATGTGGCCGGCATTACTAAACTCTGCCTTTATTTATTTAATCCATTTATAGTCCCACCTTTCTTCCCAAATCGGCTTACGTCGCCCTCCTCGCCTCCGTTTTACCATCACAACACCGCTGTGAGGTGGGTTAGGTCGAGACAGTGTGACTGACTCAAGGTCACCCAGCAAGTTTCCATGCCACGAGTGTGGATTCGAACCTGGGCGTCCCAGACACTAGTCCGACAATCTCATCCACTACAGGACACTAGCTGGGTACAGTTTGAGAATCAGTTGGGTATAGTGGTTAGGAGCAGAAAGTGGTGAATCGAGCTTCCAAGAAGAGTGACCTCCGCAGCTCACATGGTGCAACCAACATAAAGGCCCCGCTTTTGTTCACAGAGAGCCAGTTTGGTGTCATGGTTAGGAGCACGAACTCTAATCTGGGAGAACCGGGTTCGATCCCCCACTCCTCCACATGCAGCTGCCGGTGTAACCTTGGGTCGGTCACAAGTTCTCTCAGAGCTATTCTCTCAGGAGCAGTTCTCGAGAGAGCTCTCTCAGCCCCACCTACCTCACAGGGTGTCTGTTGTGGTGAGGGGAAGGGGATTGTAAGCTGCTCTGAGACTCCTTTGGGTAGCGATGGGTGGGGTATAAATCCAATCTCCTCCTCCTCCTCCTCTTCTTTCTTGTTTTCTTCTTCTTTTACATGGACTACTACTACTAATTATTATTATCGTATGGCAGTGTGTGTCATATAGCCAGGAGATCCTAAGATTGGCTGGCAACCAGAAGTTCTAGCTGTTTTAGTGTTACACACCACTAGGTGGCGAGCTAGATGTGTTTTTAAGCCAAGGGACACTTCAGAGGTGGTTTGCCATTGCCTGCCTCTGCGTCACAACCCTGGTATTACTTGGAGGTCACCCATCCAAATACTAGTCAGGGCTGACTGTGCTTCGCTTCCGAGATCTCATAAGATCAGGCTAGCCTGGGCTATCCAGGTAAGGGTACATGGACTACAGAACTGCTCTCTCAAAGAGGCAGTCTAACCTGTACTCTGACTTCGTTTCCCTGCAATTAGACAGCCCCTTCTTTTTAAACTAGGAAGCAAGCGACTACATTCAGAAAGTTCTGAAGCGAATCAACAGAGAACCGGGAAAGAAGCCCTGAGTGAAAAAGCCCCATCTTCCCAGAGGTCCTCGGCCCGAGAGGAATGCAGCCCCTATTGCTCACGAGCTGGAACGTCACCAACTGACCTTGTTGGCATTCAACACTTTGTGGAGCTCTTCGTGGCTCTGCTGAGTTATCAACACACTCTCGGCCGACGTGATGCAGCCGCTGCAAGCCAAGCAGTCGTTGAGGGTGATTTTGGCTTTTTCGAGCTTCTGCGATTCTCCGTCCTGAAAGGGAGGCGGGAGAGACGGGCCTGTAAACATCGGCAAAAGTTCCCACCGGCAGCCATTCCAGGAGTCCCTCTCCCAATTACGCTGGGAGGGGGGGTTTGGGGGGGGAGTTCTGAGCCATGGAACACCACTGGCAGAATCCCAGGTGCTAGACTGGTGCTGCAAGAATGCTGGCTCAAAAGCGTCACAGGGTACGGCTCCCATAACGCTGGGCTCAACAGAGAGCGGAATGATCGCGCTGACTTTTTTCTTTTGAGGAAAAGCATTCCTAACTACTACAACTTTTTGACTAACAGTGAAATCCCACGCAGAGTCACTCCAGTCCAAACCTACCGAGACCAATGGACTTAGACTGGAATAACTCTGCGTAGGATGCTTCCGTAGAACTAAAAATGGCTGACCTCTGTTTTCCAAACTCCCTCCTGTCCCAGATGTTGGCCAGGGTCACAGCTTGGGATCAAGAGCTGGCTACTTCAACCCGATTCTCTCACTCTTAGACGGGGGCAGAGGGAGAAAGGCCTTACCTCGTTCACTTGGAAGTAACTCCCATCGTTTTCAATACGGATCTTGGCCCCCGCTTTCCCAGGCTTCTTGTCAACTTTGACAGGTTTGATGCAATCCTGGAAGGCAAACGAGGGTTCGTTACCGAACAAGAGGCAGACGGAGAGAGAGCATCAGTGCTGAATAATGTGCGGCACAAACAAAGATAAAGAGGGAAAGACAGCCGCTTTTGTGATGGTCTCATTGTGCAGTTCAAAAGCAAGAAATTGCAAGTAGATAAATAGGTACCACTTCAGTAGGAAGGTAACAGCGTTCCGTGTGCCTTGGTGTTTAGTCATGCCGGCCACATGACCACGGAAACCTCTTCAGACAGCGCTGGCTCTTCGGCTTTGAAACGGAGATGAGCACCGCAACCCTAGAGTCGGATTCAACTGGCTTTCGAGCAAGGGACACCTTTACCGTTACTTTTTACATCGTGATCTGCTCACAGACAAGGACCCAAATTCCTGTGTTGTTGGGAAACATAGCTGCTGTCCCTGAGAAGCTCAAGAAAACAGATTTCCTACTAAAAGCCCACCAAGATTTACCCAAGGCAGAACCTTTTGTAGACTGCAGTCTGTGAAAGGTTCCATCACAACAAGCGTGACACAAGAGCTCCCATTCGGAAAAATTCCAAAAATTAGCACAAAGCAGCACGGCTGTACACATGCTCAGGGGCCAGTCATACACTCTCCAGCTGACTTCACCTCGCAGGGTTGCTGTTTCAAGAACAAAATGGGAAAGAGAACAATGGAAGACGCTTTGGGTCCCCATTACAGAGGAAAACTGGGTAGGAAAGCAAATAAATACGTTAATAAAATGATTAACAGGCCTGCTCCAGAGGGTTTTTGTCCCAGACATCACCCAAGGCCGGACCCAGCAGCAGGCAGCTTCAGCCCCAAGCCCTGCCCACTTCTGCAACGTGGGGACAAACGGCCTTCCTTGCAGGGCTGCTGTGCGGCTGCCAGAGGCGACTCCAAACGCTCCAAGCACAAATATTAGCTAATAAAAGCAACACTCATTATTAATAATGCCACCCCCACCCCTTCTCTGCGCACCTGCGAGGGCCCGATATAGTCGTCCAGGTCCGTCAGCTGCAGGACCCCACTAAAGGGGGAGACAGTCGCCGCCATCTTGGGCGCTCCACTGCGCCTCCGCCGTAAAGCGCCGTCGGGAGAGCGCCACACTGCCGCAAAAGGCTGCCGGCGCCCCCTGGAGGGCGACGCCGCTGCGTTGGCCGGCGCAGCAGCTGGAGGACTGAGGGAGGGCCGAGGCGGACGCTTTATCTCATGCCATCTCTATGGTGACTCTAGGTATTTCCTGCCTTTGAGTGATAGGTGCCGCCGCCTGGGGGCGGGACTTCCTGTTTTTTTGATACTGGGGAGGAAAGGGCAAAGCGGGCGGGGGCGCACAACAGCCCGGCAGGGTAGGATCGCGTGGCCATTCCCAATGTAGCAGGGGCTTGAGAGGGAGAGATTAGGGCATTGCTGCGAGGAAGAAGCTCCTGCGCTCTTTGGACTCCAGAAAAGTCTGGAGCTGGGATAAATGTTGCTACTCCTTTAGGGGTCACTGGACTCCGGGACCCCCGTTTAGTTTTGCTGCACTGGACTCGCATTGGCGACCTCTCGGATTTGCAAGGAAGCAGCCGTGGGACACAGTTTTGGGGGGAGGGATTTTACAACAGCCCTGCCACACAGTGCCCATGCCATCTAAGGTTGGCAACCTCCAGGGGACACCTGGAGATCTGCTATTACAGGGGATCGCTTGACGACCAAGATCAGCTCCCATGGAGAAAACAAAAACTGAGCCGCCTTGAGCCAGCGTGTCCGGCAAGGCGGGATATAAATAGAAATAATAAATCAATTAAAAATACATGACTATCAAAATTGATCCTCTAAGTCTAAATTAGTGAGAGAGAGAGATTGGATTTATACCCCACCCTTCACTGCCTCAAGGAGTCTCAGAGCAGCTTACAAACTCCTTTCCCTCCCCCTCCCCACAACAGACACCCTGTGAGGCAGGCGGGGCTGAGAGAACTCTTTCGAGGACTGCTCTTTCAAGAACAGCTTTGAAAGAACTTGTCACTGACCCAAGGTCACACCAGCAGCTGCATGCGGAGACGTGGGGAATCAAACCCGGTTCTCCCAGATTAGAGTTAGCCAACTCTTAACCACTACACCAAACTGGCTCTCACCCGCACTTTGCCCTCTGAGGAAATCAATTTCCCTTTGAAGCACTAGATGGTAGCAGAAAGCCGCTCTTTGTTTTCAGGCCTGAGTAAACCACATCCACACGGGTCTCTTTCTCTGTGCACTGCAGGACTTTCACAGGTCGTGGGTGATATTGGCTGTGCCAGTCCCCAAACCGGCCCTTGTTACTTGGAGTTTACCACCAGCCACTAGCATGGAAGAGAAAGAGCTACGGATCTACCAAGGGACTTTGATGCCAACATCCAGGGAAAGTGAGCATCTCTCTTTTGAGCTGCGGAGTGCCTGTCGAGGGTCGTGAACTCTGACCCCAGCATCTTGCCCGAAATCTGCTTGCAAGACTTTTCGATTTGGGCTGCCTGGTAGCTCAAATCCCACAAGGGTCACACCACTGCAGGAAACAAATTCTCTCTATTGATGCTGTGGATCGCTGAGGTAAATCTGCGATCCTTTAAAACACTTTCCCATTGGTATCTCACACCCCAGAAATTGGCTCACATGATTCCATCTAGCAGTCCAATGTGCTGGGGAAAACGTGGTAACTATGGGAGCCAGTTTGGTGTAGTGGTTAAGCGCGCGGACCCTAATCTGGGAGAACGGGGTTTGATTCCTGTTCCTCCACTTGCACCTGCTGGATGACCTTGGGCAAGCCATAGTTCTCTCAGAGCAGTTTCTGTCAGAGCTCTCTCAGCCCCGCCTACCTCACAGGGTGTCTGTTGTGGGGAGGGGAAGGGAAAGGAGTTTGTAAGCCGCTCTGAGACTCCTTTGGGTAGTGAAGGGCGGGGTATAAATCCAATCTCCGCTTCTTCCACTGTTAGGTCTACTGTCCCAAAATTATTCCCTTCTGGGAATCAGTACTAAAACAGATCAAATTCGTCAAGCATCTAGACACTCCTATTACACCGGAAACCCTGTTTTTGAATGAAGTGGCTTCAAGGAGTTGTTCTTCCTCTAACATGGAAAGGGTCTCTCTTTTGCTCTCTGCTGCTAAGATTTGGAAGGGTGGGCTCCTCGGCCTGTAAAATGTGCCAGAAAGACCGCTTATGGGGAGGGGGGCAATTGGGTTCAGAGAAGGACCTGGCGCGGCAAAGCTCACGAGCCCCGCTCTCTTTCCAATCAGAATCGCCACTTCCCCAAAAGTGTTTCCCAGGTCAAGGAGAGCCGTCAGAATTACAGAGCCAGTTTGGTATCGTGGTTAAGTGTGCGAACTCTAACCTGGGAGAACCGGGTTTGATTCCCCACTCCTCCACTTGCACCTGCTGAATGACCTTGGGCAAGCTACAGCTCTCTCAGGGAAGGGAAAGGAGTTTGTAAGCCGCTCTGAGACTCCAAGTGAAATGTGGGGTATAAATCCAGTCGCCTCGTCCTCCTTCTCCTTCTTCCAAGATGCATTTCTAGCGCATTCTTCGGCCCTCAACAGCCAAACAGGTGAGTTCAGCGTGGGAGAACAGGAGACGTTTCCCCGCCTTGGCAAGGCACCTTCCAAAAACTCCCGATCGAAGAAACAGATGCGCACCGGCCGGGTCGGCGCCCCTTCGGAAATCCACGGACACCCCCCTCTGCCGGCAAAAGTTTAAACAAACCCCTTGTGATATTGTGAGCGTCTCAAGGATCTGTGATACGATTGGTGCTTTCCGACACATTCCCGGGAACTGTTCCCTCTGGCTCTGGGGTTCCGAGGTGGACTGCTTCTGAACATGGAGGTTCCTCTTAGTCACCATGGCTTGTAGTCACTGATAGACCTCTTCCCCATAATAATAATACACCATATCTGGGGTTACGCCTGGATCTACCAGTCTAGCTGCGGGGTGTCAAATATGCGGCCCTGGGGCCGGATGAGGCCCCTGGACAGCTTCCCTCAGGCCCGCAGTGGAACTGGCCATCTCCTGCTTCCAGTTCTCCTGCTGCTGCTGCATCATAGCTTGCTTCACCAGACTCTCTCAATCGCTCAGCCATTTCATGTTTCCCCCCTGGGTCCCAGACTCAGAACTCTGAGCATGAGATTTCTGTGGTGAATGTCAATCAATCAAAAGTAGATTTGCAGCTTACAGAGCGAATGTTTTAAGCATGTTTTTATTTTAAGTAAAAGAGAAACCCTTTGTGTTTGTGTCCTTTATAAAGTGTATATCTCCGCTACCTGGCGTTACATTTTATGGCACACATGGCCCGGCCCAACAAGGTCTCATTTATGTCAGATCCGGCGCTCATAACAAATGAGTTCGACACCCCTGGTCTAGCTCATTCATGGCGGTAGGCAATAAGTCATGGGCTTTCGGTATTCATGATTTCTCTCAGGCCCACGTTTCGATACCTGCAACCAGAAAGGGGGGGATGGATGGGAAATCGAGGCCCTGCATGACAAACCACCAAGGTCAGTTCCCCCTGGAGAAAATGTTTTGAAGGGTGGACATTATGGCCTTCTAACCTACTGAGGTCTCACCCCTCCCCAAATCCTGCCCTCCCCAGACTCCACCCTTCAGGAATTTCCCCAAGCCGGAGCCGGCAACTCCAGTTGGTTTTAAACAAACGTGTTTATCGCTGTAAACGTTGACACAGTAACTTCGCCCTCCGCGGACCAAAGCGGCTACTTGCTTTTAGAAGGCCATCAATCAAGTCCCTGTTTTTGTCTGTCCTCTATTACAGCCACACACCTGGATTTAAAAAAAATAAAAATAGCCTCCACTATTGAATAAGCACCGTGCCAATTCAAATGTGCCCGATTCAGACTAGGCCGCGGCCAAGTCAGGTTCTTGTGGCCTGGCGTGCCAACTGGCAGCCGCAGCCTGGATTTCTATGGCTTCTGGGAGAAACTGGGACGGGTCTGCGGGGAGGGCGAGGTGGCATTTCACGGACTTTGATCGGCGGTGAAGTCGGGCCCCTGGCTCGCTCTTAGGGCTCCAGCTCTCCAAGGACGCGGGGTACCCAATTAAAGACTCCCCCTTCTCACGCTCGGCTCCGGGCAGGGGCCGCGGCGCAGGTCCCGCGGGTTACTCCGAGCCACGAGACGTCTTTCCTAATGGCCTCCCCGCTGAATTCTAAATTTCAGTCTCAGCCTCTAAATTTTCATTAGGGCCAGTCGCACGGGGAGGGGATGATGGATTAGATTTTAAGTTGGAACGCCTCCAGATGAAATTAAAGCGCTTCTTTCTTTCTCTCCTGACCCCCCACCCCCCAAAAAAAACCTTTTTTAAAAAAGGGGAGGGAGGAAACCTCCCAACCCTTTTGCTTTTTCCTCCTGCGGTGCCCTCAATACCAGGTTTCAAGCGACGCTTGTTCTTTTTAAACTGAGCTGCTGGCACACGGCTTGCTTCCCTGCCCCTCTCGGAAGATGCCACGGTCTAGACGCTGGCACGCCGGAGGGGGAAAAAATCGGGCTTGCCAGTTGGGAGGCGAAACGGGCTTGCCAATTCAACTGAAGGAGGCACTCGGCTAAGCCTCTGTGTGGTTTTCAGGGGGCAACAGTGCTTTGTCTCTGGATGGACAATTTACCTGCAAACAGGGGAAACCGTCAAGCACTGCCTCTCGCTCTTTGCTAATCGGCACGGGCCACGATCCAAGCAGGAAGGCCTTCTGTGCAGGCCTCCGATGAAAGAAACGAGCGCTCCCGGCCTCTCTCTCTCTCTCTCTCTCTCTCTGCCTTCTGCACGCATTTGCACGCACGTAGGGCCTTCGCTCTCTTCCTTCTCCATTATCCCCCACCCTATTCTTCTCATTGGCTCCCCCCCCTCCGCCGTCCACTCCGTCTTCTTCCACCTCCCCAATTTCCTGGCATCCCCCTTTTCCCCTCCACTCCTTCATCCTCCCTCTTTCCGTCTGCCTGGCACAATCCTTTGAACGCACTGAATCTCTCCAGATTGTAGACAGATGAGACAATCGCTTTCTGGGTACTCCTCCTTCCACGTGACCGACGAGGCCGTGGCGGATTTTCTC